CTCGGTGGTGTTCCATCAGCTTTGCCCCTCTCTGGACAGGAATAGCCTAATTTCTGTCATCTATGCTCTGTTAACCTCTAGATTAGATTACTGCAATGTGTTAGACGTGGGGCTACCTCTGATGACAGTTTGGAAACTGCAGCTGGTGCAGAATTCAGCAGCCAGGTTGCTCACCATGAAAATCCCTGAGAAGTAATCGACTATAGAATAACAAAAATAAAAAATAAGCTAAAATTAAACAAAGACTTTACGAGATGCCGACTACAAAACTCGTTTCACTGAACTAATCAGTTTCCTCTGAAGGAAATGAAGGAATCATAAGATTTTAAGTGATATCAAACAAGCTCAAGAGCAGGGCTGAAAATGCTTCCTGGAGTTTACAAAAAAGGTATGAAAACCTCAATGACGAGTTTTAAACATAGCCCTTTTTAAGAGAATCCAGCAGTAGTGATAAGAAACTGAGGTTTTAAAGTTTCAAACAAACTCAAAAATCAGGGCAGAAACTCAAAAAAGTTTTAAACATAACCCTATTTAAGAGAACCAAGCAGTAGTAATAAGAAATTGAGGTTTGAAGTTTAAACAAACTCAAAACCTGAGTAGTCTCGCTGGTTTCACTCGGGTGGCGTCGCAGAGGGAGGGGCCGAGAGCCGCTGCTGTTGCTGCCTCACGATGCCTTCAATTAAACTGCAGAGTTCTGATGGAGAAATATTTGAGGTTGACTTCGAAATTGCAAAGCAGTCTGTAACCATCAAGACAATGTTGGAAGATTTGGGAATGGATGATGAAGGGGATGATGATCCTGTCCCTCTTCCAAACGTTAATGCAGCTATATTAAAAAAGGTAATCCAGTGGTGCACCCACCATAAAGATGACCCACCTCCCCCTGAGGATGATGAAAACAAAGAGAAACGAACAGATGACATCCCTGTGTGGGACCAAGAATTTCTTAAAGTAGACCAAGGAACTCTCTTTGAACTTATCCTGGCTGCAAACTACTTAGACATCAAAGGCTTACTTGATGTGATGTGCAAGACAGTTGCAAATATGATTAAGGGAAAAACACCAGAAGAAATCCGCAAGACCTTCAATATCAAGAATGACTTCACTGAAGAAGAAGAAGCCCAGGTACGCAAAGAAAACCAGTGGTGTGAAGAAAAGTGAAGTCTTGTGCCTGACAACTGACACTGTAAGGATCGTTCCAAATACCAGTTGCACTGCTCTGTTTATAACTGTTAATATTAGACAAATGCAGCAGCAAATGAAGTTGTTCTTGTAGGGTGGTGTTCTCTTTGCATGTGTAATATTTGAATATAGATTTAAATCCTTTTGGCTGAATTTCTACCAGTGTAATCCAATGTCCCCATACTTTTCCTCTGATACCAATAAAACTAAACTAAGTGTGGACTCCGTATGGCAATTCGCACCGCAAGCTAGCCTTTCCATGCTTTTAAATGTGTCACTGTATCATTTAAAATATATAGGATGTCAGAAATTCAGCAACCTCTGGCACTGTAAATAAAATCAATTGCAAAAGTTTTCTGAAACAGAAAAAAAAACAAACTCAAAACCTTGATCTATGAAGCCTTAAATGGACGGCAATACCTCAAGAACCGCCCCTCCCCATATGAACCACCCTGGACCCTGCATTCATCATCTGAGCCCATTTTTCATGTGCCTCCACCATGAGAGGTCTGGAGGGTGGCAACACGAGAACAGGGCCTTTTCTGTGGTGGCTCCTCGCTTGTGGAATGCTCTCCCTAGGGCAGCTTGCCTAGCCCCTTTGTCACGTATCTTTAAGCACCACCCCTCTTTTCCCAGGTCTTAAACAATCTATGGCCTTTTAAACTGTGTGCGTGCGTGCGTGATGGTTTTATGATGATACATATTTTTGTATTTCTATACCTGTGCTGCTTGGATGAAGGGTGGTAGTAAAGGTAAAGGGACCTCTGACCATTAGGTCCAGTCGTGACCGACTCTGGGGTTGCGGTGCTCATCTCGCTTTACCAGCATGACTAAGCCGCTTCTGGCGAACCAGAGCAGCGCACGGAAACGCCGTTTACCTTCCCGCCGGAGTGGTACCTATTTATCTACTTGCACTTTGACGTGCTTTCGAACTGCTAGGTTGGCAGGAGCAGGGACCAAGCAACGGGAGCTCACCCCGTCGTGGGGATTCGAACTGCCGACCTTCTGATCAGCAAGTCCTAGGCTCTGTGGTTTAACCCACAGCGCCACCCGCGTCCTGGGTGGTATATTAATTTAATAAATAAAAACAATAATTATTAGACCAAGCTGTGGGAGGGGAGGTTTGGATGAGCTGGGAGGAAATAACAAGGGCAGCAGCGGGGGATGGTTTGAAGTGTAAAGACAGGTTTGTCAAGTGTCAAGGGAGGAGGGGTTGGGGGAAGGGGGTTGGCAAAGGAATACATACTGTATACATACATACGTGCGCACACATACACAGGAAGCTTGTATTAGCAAATGCTTCAGTCTTATTACACTTTGGGTTGGTAGGATTTCATGCCAGATTTTTTTCTCTACTTTTTTTTTTGGAAAGTCTCATTTTGTTAGTACACTGTAACACTGGGGAAAACTCACAGCTTTTAAAGTACCCTACTCTTTCCTGTTACCCTGTCATTCTTGTATTTTTTTAAAAAAGCAATAAATGACTATTTAAGTAAGAAAAAAACTCCAATACCATTTACTTTGACACTTTCAGTCAGATCTAGTCCTCAAACACAGTATTTCCCACACCTCCTCATCCTTCAGTCATATATTCTGTATCGCCTTAGAACCAGCCTGCCTTCCTACTTCTTACAGTGGTACCTCGGGTTAAGTACTTAATTCGTTCTGGAGGTCCGTTCTTAACCTGAAACTGTTCTTAACCTGAAGCACCACTTTAGCCAATGGGGCCTCCCGCTGCCGCTGCGCCACCAGAGCACAATTTCTGTTCTCATCCTGAAGCAAAGTTCTTAACCTGAAGCACTATTTCTGGGTTAGCGGAGTCTGTAACCTGAAGCGTACGTAACCTGAGGTACCACTGTATTTCTTTCACTGTCACATACCTCTTAGTGGTGGAGTGAGCGTTACATTCTGAAAAATAAAACAGGATTCTATGCTATTATTGCAATGCGAGTACCTTTATGAAATGTTGTATGCTGATAACAGACCAACGTAGCCAAGTGCATGTAAGAATAAGTTCACAGACGAATCACCACAAGGAGAACTTTGACAATCACCCATAGTTAACTCAAACAATATTCTTCCATGGCGTCTGTTCACATTTTCAACTGTGAGTCTCTAAAATGTACCCTTCATTTTGTGGAATCTCCTGTTGGTACTGCAGTATACATCGTCTCCTTGTGTAATCTTGTTTTCTCATCACTGGTAGTTTATTTAATTTGAATTTAAAAATTAAAGAAACTTAACTGGTGAGAAGATGGGATTCTTTTTCCATTTACAGCCAGATTGCTCCAATATATAGATAATGGGTTATAAGCTTATGGCAGCCGGCAGCTGATTGGCACCCATCAGTAATACGACTTAAGGCATTAGATCTTCTCATACATGCTCAATGTTCTGTGCTTCACTACTAATCCCTATGGAGATGTGGCCTGGGAAAATAAATAGGTTGCTCCATGAGACATGCCTAGTTAGTAAGCCAACTTACCCATTTTCTTCCTTGGTTTGTACTGGAAATAATGTTTACATATTAGATAACGTATGTATGAAGGGGGGATTTGGGCATATGCGTCTAAGTAAACCAAACACAAAGTATCTCTGAAAATGCTCAGCAGCTCAGATGAGGGGGGTGGGGGTGGGGAGAGTTCTATCCAGAAGCTGAGCATAATTCAGACAGCAACAGTAGCTTTGCAATTTGGACGTGTGCCATTGCGGGTCTAGATGCCTCTTCTGCCGCTTTGGCAATTCCCACTTTTGCTCTTGGCCCCATAAATTAGCAATGGAAAAGGTAACCCTAGGGATTTCTGCCTTGTGGAAAAAAGGCAAATTAAAACTTCTTCATCAGACCCAGTTTGAAACTCAAAGAAAGAATATTGCTAAATGTTTACTGGACCCATTAATGACAAGTTGAAAAACACATGAAATCCTACTTGTAATGTCCTGTGGCCCAATATTTTCATTCATTTACTGCATTCATCTACCACCTTTTAACACCAGAGTTTCCCAGGTGGTTCATAGGATTCAAACTTGCCCAATTGTATCCTGATTCCAGGCCAAAAGCAAGCAGACATCAGTGGCCTCACAGTCTGCATTATCCCTATTTGACTAGCATTGTCCTTCAGCCTCACTCCAGGTAACTGGGACTTCCCAAATGGCTCTGTCACTTGCTCAGGTGAGTAGTCCTATTTGCCGAGAGCGTGATTTGGGAGGGCTGTAATTTTCCCCTTTCAATGGACTTCTGGTCCAGCCTAGCAATACATTAATATGGTATTCCTGATAAGTGGAAACAAGTAAGTACCTGCTGTTCAGTATGAAATTCTTACATAGAAATCTGTGGCTGGCTCAGAAGATGGCTAATCTATAAAGGTACAATTCACTATTCCTGATTTGGCAAAACAAAACCTCCTGTGAACAGTGTACAGTTACTTCAACTATATATGATTGTAAATGTATGTGATCACCATGTTTTTAAACTCTTTTCCCTTGTTGTTTTTCATTAAGCATAAGCATTTCACAGTTATGGAATTTGAATGTGTGTAGTAAGTTAAATGAAAAATATGAAACATTTCTTTGTTTTATTGCAGTCTCTATTTTTCTTCTTCCCAGAAAGAAAACCAGCTCTAGAAAATGTGTACAATCTTTTCCTCACTCCCACAGCAAGAGTGAGCGATATTATAGATCAGATTTGATTGATTTCTGCTCATTCAGAAAGAGAATGTAAGCAAATGTGGGTTAAACTGGAAACAAAGGGTTAAAGAAAGGAAACATTGCTTTTTGTTCTTATTGCTTATTGTTCTTTGGTAACTGAAAAAATCTTCAAATAAAATAATAAAAACATTTTAATCAAGAAATCCCTATAGTGGTCCGTTAAAACCAATTGCGGTATGATAAATTACAAGTAAGATTGTTGAGGGTGTTTTCTGAACAGTTGATTTTTTTTTCTCACTTGCTTTTACAAATGTTACTTTTGCTATAAATCTTTTTCAGCAAAACACACACCCTAAAAAGTGTGATCCTGAAATTAGATATGCCATAACTACACACGAGACTGCAAGCAGCAGTCATTGAAACCTGAAAGATCACCAAGATAACGATGTACAGTCGACAAACCGCAGTATTTGAAAAACAAGAGAAACACCATGCAGGCTTATTTGAAAGGAAGGGTGCACGGGCATTCTTTGCTGCTGTTTTCAGAGTTTTCATTCTATGCTAACAATTGTAATATTCATATTTTTGTTTAACTGTGACTGTGACTGGGATACAGAAGGCTTTAATTGGTTAAAAGGCTACCCAGAAATATTAATAAATTATGGCTCAAAGTTCTGCATCCAACCCTGATATGATGTGGCTATTATAGGCATTTTTAAAATTATGATTTCAAGAAGATTTGAGAAGGGAAGCAGCATTAGTCACCATGGCATTCAAATAAATTTATTATGGCATAAGCTAGTCTTCAAGGTGGCATGGAACCTTAAAGTCAACAACTTAAAAAGCACTTGAGATCGAAGCCACGAGTGATCAATCCCAGGCACAGTGAATGTATTAGGCCACTCAAGCAATTTTTTTGCCCACCCCCTCCCCCAAGACTCGAAAAGAAAAAAAGTTGACATAGCACTTGAGTGGGCAGAAAGATTTATAACCAGTCCAGCACCTTGATTCAATTTGCCCCTTTCCTCGCAATCAGATCAATCGTTTGTCGAGCATGGAGAGAGCAAAGACTCTCTGCAGTTGATTTGTGCAGGTCAGCCGAGGAGATGGGCGATGTGTACCTATTTATATGTGAGCACGCAGACACACAGGAACGCGGGGTGGTCACGACTACTTCTGCCAAGGGTTGGCTAAGGGTGAATGTAGCTCTTGGGTCAATAAAGGTGATCTGATCTGGATCCAGCCCATAGACAATGTGCATATATGTAGCCTAGGTGTGGACTGATTTGAGCCAAGATTCGCTGCGACTCATACAGAACATATTCTGAATGCCAATACTCAGTCACAGAAAACAAAACAATGCCTTGCAGCATGGACAGAGTTCCTGAGTAATCCCAAGTAGCTCACATCTGTCTGGCATTAGGATGCAAAGGTTCCACCTAAACTGCATAAAGATTCCACCTAAAATGCATATGCTACAGGTGGGCTTTAGCCCTGGTACTTCTTTCTTGGTTAAGATATAGAGCAAAGCACATACCAACATGCGTAGCCTTCAACCTTTCAGACAGGGACTCATCTTTAACCCAGTACTTGCCCTCCCTTCTTCTTTCCCTTTTAAAAAGTGACAAGAGGCAACAATAGTTGTGTCTGCTGTGCAACCTATTTTCAGTTAAATCCCACCAGCAGAATACCAATGATACATTATTTCTATCGAGTGTTCTATGCCTGATCCATGTTTTCTTAGAAACCTGAGATATTATGGGGGGGGGGAAATATGGTGATGGCAATGTTACCAAACTAGTTCATTTTTATTTCTCCATTCGCATATTTTGAGTGAAGTATAACCATTTTTTATTAGATGTATATGGCCAATCTACTGTGACTTGCCAATATTGCTCTTAATTTTTTTAGTATCCCTGTTTAGCTACATGGATGACTTAAAGGTTGAGAAAGGTAGAGTGGAGATTAACATTTTTCAGAAATGTTAACAGACTCCTCTGAACAAGAACATCACAGTCCTCTCTCCCTTTAATGAAATCACATGGCTAAGTAATTATTCACATTTCTTAGAGCTGTGATGCAGGAGATGAAAGAAATGTTCAAAAACGTTAAAGATCAGAAAAAGGAAAGTGATGCAAGATTGGAAAACCTGTATTTTTTTGCAAAAAGAGCCATAGTACACGCTTTTTGGTTTCCTCCTGTTCCTAGTTATTAGGAATGATAAAATATTTTATGCTGATTTTGTGTTGTTGTTGTGTGTTTTGGGGGGAAAACCACAGAATTTGTCAAAATAAATATTGAATACAAGCTATTTGTACGATTGAAAGTACTCTTCAAGTGCAATCTGGCCAGTACAAATCACCATTCAAGAGTCAGGTATGTCCAGTGCCATCCATCATTTCTGCTCTGATATGTCACATGTGAGGAGTCAGCTTATTCTTCTGGATTTAGACATTCAGAAGTCTATCCAGTAAATGGCTGAAGTCTTCTTCTGGGCAGCACACCAAACGTGAAAAGTCAAATCCTTCGTGCAGGCACTGCTCAGTGCTGGAGCAGAAAGTTGGTGGCTACATTAAGGTCATTATTTGAAGCCCTCAAAGCTTCCAGAGCATCCAGTCGGGAAAATCCCATTTCCATGAGCCGTGTGACCTTGCAGAAAAGGAAAGAGACAAAAAGAGGTCTTTATCTGGAATCTCAGCTAAGCAGCCAAGATAACTGCATGCTTTAAAAAATGGTTAAGAATGGATAAATAGTATAAGATAGGACTTTGGCTGCCTCGTGGGAAGAAACCACTCTGTAGCTCCCTTGTCCAATGTCCATGCCTGTGTTAAACCAGTTTCTGGAGGCTGATGCTGGGAAAAGGAGGGGTCTTATCTAATGTGATCTGGGGCTTTTCACTGTTAGTAACAAGGGAAGGGAGGCACTGAGGTGGTTACCACACCACCAGAAAAGTGTGAGAACCCAGCCTTAGTTTTCAGGTCTTTTCTCTTAAGTGCTACGTTCTGAGACAGTGAGACTTTCACATGGAGTGGTTGCCTCCGCCCACCCTGGTTTAAACTGAAGCTACAGCTCAGGGGTCAGCAAACTTTTTCAGCAGGGGGCCGCTCCACCGTCCCTCAGACCATGTGGTGGGCCGGACTATATTTTGGGGGGAAAAATAAAAATGAATGAATTCCTATGCCCCACAAATAACCCAGAGATGCATTTTAAATAAAAGCACACACTGTACTCGTGTTAAAACACAAGGCAGGCCCCACAATTAACCCAGAGATACATTTTAAATAAAAGGACACATTCTACTCATGTAAAAACACGCTGATTCCTGGACCATCCGCGGGCCAGATTTAGAAGGCAATTGGGCTGGATTCGGCCCCCGGGCCTTAGGTTGCCTACCCCTGCTATAGTCCTATCAGAGAAGTGTATTGCCTCAAAAAGGGAACATGTGAATTTGGTTTCAGAGATGCACTGTATGAAAATCTTGAAAGTGGAGGAAACACTGTTTAAAATAAGGTTATCAGCAGCTTGGAATCTACTTCCTTATCACAAGAAAGCTGTCATTATCCAAGTTCTCAGTTGGAAGCAAATGTAAAACCATGTTGGACGGTACTATATAAGGACTCGCCGAATGCCTTTTCTCTTTTAAAAAATGTGCCATGGGTGTGCTACCTGTATTTCCAAGGAACATTTAATGAGGCCCTTAACTAAACCCGCTGTAAACAAAGTTGTGATTCTAATGCACACAGTTCCAGCTCCAATGCTCATAAGAAAAGGAAGAAGGGCCACTGGCTTTTGATGCACTGTGTGCATTTAATTGCAGTTATTCAGGGAGTGCTGCTGCTGTTAAGATCTAGATGTGCTTGCTGCTTTGCATGGTGGAATGGACATGTTTAAATCAGAAAACCAATTTCTAAATGAATCAACATTTCCAGACTGATGGCATGAGTACTTTTAAAGAACAGAGAATGATCAGTATTTGTCACAGTCCCGATTTTCATTTTTTCTTACGCAGTTATAGAAATGAATCAGAGAGACAGGTGAGTCAGGGAACCCCCACACCAGCTCATCAACTGCCATTTGGTTCCTGGCCTGCTTTTCTTTCCACCAATGGTCACCCACCAAGCAGTGAGCCCGCCCACCCCACCCCACCATCCATGGTCTCCGCTGGGTCCAAGTGTTACTTGGCTCCCACTCCTCCTGAAATTGTCTCATGCAATTCCAATCTTTGGCCTGTACACTTTCAAGTCTAATGCTTGTAAGAAAGGAAAGAAAGGCCATTGTACCTTTTGTTGTTCAGCTGTGTGTGTGTGTGCACTTCTGTGTCCTACACCTGATATGCAAAACCTGCTCCATGTGGCTGACGGGAACCACAGTGGGAACAGACAATGCAAAATTCCCATGACCAACTTTCTATTCTCTGATTGGGTACTCTACGGTGCTAGGAAGGGAGCATGGAACGCTATGGAAGTGACCTTAATTAAGCAGAATTGTGTAATACGCCACATAAGCATGTTGGCTCTCCCCATCACCAGCAAAATCACACATATTTACCTGTTCTTCAGAAACTTCAGCCGGAGGTAGCACCTCATGTTCTGTCTGGTGATTATCCTGATAGTTTGCATTCCGTCGATGGCGTAAAGGAGGAAAGAGACGATTCCAGTTGATCATTCCACCCTGTAAACAAATATCCCCAAAATTGCTATTGTTTAAACACAAAACTGGCAAAACGACCGTTAGGACTGAAGAGGCAATCAATCTCTGCCACACAAAATGAGGCATTACATGGTTTGAGACCAGGATATTAAAGGACGGCCTCTTTCCATATCAACCTGTCTATACCATGTCATCTTTGTTGGAGGCCCCACTATGCATCCTACTAGATCAGGGGTCAGCAAACTTTTTCAGCAGGGGTCCAGTACACTGTCCCTCAGACCTGGTGGGTGGGTTGGACTATATGGGGGGGGGAGGAGAACGAATTCCTATGCCCCACAAATCACCCAGAGATGCCTTTTAAATAAAAGCACACATTCTACTCATGTAAAAACACCAGGAGGCCCCACAAATAACCCAGAGATGCATCTACTCATGTAAAAACATGCTGATTCCGGGACTGTCTGCGGGCGGGATTTAGAAGGCAACTGGGCTGGATCCGGCCCCCGGGCCTTAGTTTGCCTACCACGCACTAAATTCAGAAGCATGACTGCGAGGCAGGGTATCTTCTATTGTGGTACCCAGCTTATGGAACACTCCCTAGAGAGAGGTTGGCTGGATCTTTTGAAAACTTTTATTTTCTTTTCACAGGCACTTACAATATGATTTTTTTAATTTAAAAAAATCAGGTTTTTTGATGTTTTACATGTGTTTATGGATATTGTCAGGGGACTGCCATCGGAACAGGGGAGGAAGCCAGGGGGCTACAGAGAGCCTCTGGCGCCCCTGAGGAGCAGCGCCTCGTCCAGCGGTAGAGCTCGAAGATGCTACTGAGAGCCCAAGCGCCTCACCTAGCCTGGCTGGCCAGGAGGCAGACATGCCGTTTCCGTCGCCCAGCTTACGCAGAGGGATGAAACGTAAGGAGTGAAGGTGGAGATTTGGGGTGTCTAAGTTCTTATGTTGGGGGAGAAACCGGAAGGGGCCACTCCAGGAATCTGCAAGCGACTAAGACGGACATGAACTTTATGTTTTTGCACTGTGTATAGTTTGCATCAATAAAACCTGCAAAAGACATGTTGGAGTCCTGCCTGGTTACTCACGAACAACCACCACTAGCACCTGACAGATATCTTTGTTGATTTTTATTGGTGTATATTGTATTCTGTCTTGCTATATTTTTATGAATGCGTGGATTAGAAATTCATTCATTCATTCATTCATTCATTCATTCATTCATTCATAAATAAGCAAGCAAGCAAGCAAGCTCAGGTTCAGATGGCAAGCTAAGGCAAAATCATGGCTTTGATTTTGCAGCAGCAAAATGACCAAGGAGGAGCAAAATGGTCACAACCTCCTCTCTGAGAGCCTACGCATTTGCTTGTTCATGCTACACCATGATTTCATTGGGCATTATGTGCAAATAGGGGCACTGTGGTTCTTTTAAGAGCCTATTTACTAGAAATAAATCTGAAGCAACTTCTACCTAGGTGGCACCAGCAATTCCTTTCCCTTCTTTAGCAAATCTGACCTCATTCAAAGTTGCTATGTCCATTTCCCCCCCCAGATTTGCAAGCAAGCAGGCGTATTCGACCATTTTCTTACCTTAACTCTTCCTGTTATTTTTAGCATCTGCATCACTGAACTGGCACCTGACTTCCACTAGTGGCAAGTTCTGGTCTACATTAGTTAGAAGGTCCTTGAAAAATATTTGATTATTTTGAAGAACTTATGTTTTAATTATTCCCCATGGTGTGCGTATGTATATCTCAGAGGCAGACTGGGTTTATTCTCCCTTCCTCTCAGATTTGTGACAAGATTCCTTCCTTTCCTGTTTCTATAGGAATGTGGTTTCCTTCCTGCTAAGCCTATCAGTCGTGTTTCTCAGCAAGGTTCCTTCTTAAAAGGAATCTATTTTTGTCTACTTTGATTGTTTTTGTTTTCCTTTGGGTGGTGATTTTTCTTCCCTCTGCTGTCTAATGGCTTATCTGAATTAAAAAGTAACTTAATGTTCCTTTTCAGCCTTTTTAAAAATGGATGGCCTAACCTTAAGACTCCCTTCGCCTTATTTGTAGGCTCACATAATCCTAACTATGGCACATGCCACAGGGGGACAAAACATGGTTGCCATCATGTCAGCATCACCAGGGCCTTAGGTTGGCAGATATGACAAAGTAAAGTTTCAGAGTGCCCACTTTGCACATCACAGAGTTAATTGCTTACCATTAATGCACCTATCTGGGCTGTTCTGTTCCTTTTTACTAACACGGGGGGGGACGGGACGGACGGGACCCACAATTCCCAGCTGGGTGTTCTGTCCGAGCTAGTGATCGTACAGTGGTACCTCGGGTTAAGTACTTAATTCGTTCCGGAGGTCTGTTCTTAACCTGAAACTGTTCTTAACCTGAAGCACCACTTTAGTTAATGGGGCCTCTTGCTGCTGCCGCGCCGCTGGAACACGATTTCTGTTCTCATCCTGAAGCAAAGTTCTTAACCGGAGGTACTATTTCTGGGTTAGTGGAGTCTGTAACCTGAAGTGTCTGTAACCTGAAGCGTATGTAACCTGAAGTGTATGTAACCCGAGGTACCACTGTAGTTTGTTTCACTCGGAACAAACCACAACAACAACCCAAAGTTTGTTCTTGGCTCACCAATAATAGTGTGCTTAAAGTGAAATACACCCTAATCTCTAGTTCAGCTGTGATCGGCTGAACATGGTAAACGGTTAACTATGGTTTACTAGGATGCGCAAACACAGCCATTGTCATTTAGTGCTCTCCATCTTTGAAACAGAAATAATAATGACCTAATGCATGGAGCTTTGAGAGGATATGAGATAAATATTACTGAAGTTGCACTAAAATAATTAGGAGTAGTCATGCTAACAGTGTGGTATATTAGCACCAGGTTACTGGAGGGTGTTACGTACATTACAATTTAATGAACGCTCCCTCCCCCCAAAGTAAGACTTGAACCCCCCCCCCCGTGTGTGTTCTTGTGTCTGTCTGTCTCTCTCCACCCCATTCAGATAGCCCGAAAATAACTTGGAAATGAGCAGCACAGAAACCTCTGTTCTCTTAAGTTCAATTAGTGCCTTTCTATTTTCTCTACTGTGAAGAACAGCTGGTTGAGTTGGAGCTTTAATAGCCTGCCTCATTTCAAAAATCCCAGCAGCTTTCAGAGATGAGTAAAATTACAAGTCATTAGTAAAGATGAGCAAAATCAGTTCCTATCGCTCTCTGCAGCTGTGCGGAATTAACGAAAGACGAATATCCCTCTTCTTTAGCAGTGAGAAAAAGAGACTACATAAAGGCTGCAATCCTACATGCTGCTCTGAGGAAAAGACCCACTGAACACAAGGGGTCTTACTTCTGAGGAAAGATGCATAGGTCATTGCTGTAAATATACTAATTCTGATCTTACCTCTGTCACCTTTTTCTTTATAGCTCTATGAAGATTTTTATGAGTTGGTAAGCAGGTGATTTTTTAAAATAGTTTTTTTAAGAGAGAACTGTTAAGAACAGCAGTTGCCTTTCTTTCCAAGGAGATTACTGTCCCCTCATCCTGTGCATTACTGATTTCAGGAACTCTATTAGCTCACCAGGTTTTTAACTGCATTGGTTAATTTTATGTATTTCTGCATTGTGGGCTTGTGTTTTCCAAGAAAGCAGGGTAGGAATCAAATGAATTAATCATTAATCTTGATGAAGGGTGGAATATACATTTAATAAATAATAAGTAATAAAATTAAAAATATAATAAAAGACTAACATATATTAACTTCACTTCAACTGTCTAACCCTCTGAGAGGCAAAAAGCCCCCTAGAATAAAATTTGCTTTACAAATATCTTAAAAATGAGGGGGGGGGGAGAAGGAGAAAATGGCCAGTTAAGTTTCTTCAGACAAATAATTCCAAAATGTGTGTGCCCCAGCTATGATAGTCTTACATCTATGAACAGACAATCTTAAATTGCAAAAGAAGAGAAGGCAGGTCGTGTCATATTATCATTTTTGCAGGTTAAAGGTAAAGGGACCCCTGACCGTTAGGTCCAGTCGCGGCTGACTCTGGGGTTGCGGCGCTCATCTCGCTTTAATGGCTAAGGGAGCCAGCGTACAGCTTCCGGGTCATGTGGCCATGACCGTTTCTGGTGAACCAGAGCAGTGCACAGAAACAGTTATTTGAGTCTAAAAACAAATAAGGAACAATTTGAACCCAGAAGTTCTCCACTTGCCTCTGCCTTGAACTCTTTGGAAAGCCTCTATCTCTTAGCCTCTTACAGGGTTGGTGTAAGATTTCCTGAGATAATGTATGTCAAGTGCACGCCCTTTATCCAAAGAACATAGGGCGGATTACGTAAAAGATTAAAAGAAGTATAAGAACTACAGAACCTAAAATCACCGGAAAGACAGCAGTGCATCAATACAGTACATTGGGTAGAGTCAACTAAAACCTCAACCCCACAAAAGCCTGGGCAACAAGGTGCATTTGCTGACCTGCTGCTTAAAGATGGACCATGTTTGTGCAAGACGCATCTCAGTGCAAGATGCCGTTTAAACAGGATACTATACAAATCCAAACCATTTGTTCTTATTATTGAGACATCAAATGCTCCCCTTCCTGTGCCTGTGAAACATCCTCCAAACTGTGACCTTCATTTACCATCATACGATCGGTTAATATAAAGGAAACAAGAGTAGGAGGAATATTTGAGAAACTGATTTTATCGCTGGCATGCTCAGCTAAGGCACCTCAGGTGACAGAGTTGTCAGCCTGGGGTACTACTGTTAAGAAAAAATACTTCCCACATCTCCCTTGCCCTACGATGGCTTAGCAATGACTCTAGAAAGGGGCATGCTATCGATGGGAAAGAAGAACAAAAACGGGATAACGGTGCTAAAGAAAAAAGAACAAACTTGTGGCCATTAACTCGTTCTTGTTATTTTTCTACACATAAGTTAATAATGAAACAAAAATTGGTCGAATGACTGCTCCAACCGACAGTAAAGGTAAAGGGACCCCTGACCATTAGGTCCAGTCGCGGACGACTCTGGGGTTGCGGTGCTCATCTCGCTTTACTGGCCACATGACCCAGCTCATCTCGCTTTATTGGCCGAGGGAGCCGGCGTACAGCTTCCGGGTCATGTGGCCAGCATGACTAAGCCGCTTCTGGTGAACCAGAGCAGCGCACGGAAACGCCATATGCCAATGCCCATGGATTTATATATTTACAAAGCAACCTGGTAAAGCCAAGATGGAAAGTGTCTGATCACTGTTTTTATTTCGAACCAAACACAAAGCTTGGGAACAGATTGATCATATGACCTTTGTCTAAAAAACAGACAAACACTGTTGAACCAGCTTTTCCAACCTAACTTAAAGCTTTTATATCTCACAATAGAAATGCAGACAGATTGTTAACCAATAATGGAAGAATACAGACAACGTTTATAGAGGGAGAAAATAAATCAACCAATTTAAACACCCTGCCAGAGTTTCACAAATATTCCTTCATGTTAAAGGGGTTGTGTGCAGTTGCTATGGCAATCTTACTTTTCATATCCCTGCCTTCATTTAGATTTTGGTTCCTACTGGAAAGAACACTGTTGGTCAAGACAGTCAGTGGGAAGGAGAAGGTTGGGAAATTGAGCAAATTAAAGAAGAAGGGGCCTCGGGAAATGTATTTGTAAGGGGAAGTGTGTAGGCGGTTTCACCACCTTGATAACAAGTGTTGCAGAAGACACTGCCCTGAAAAAGTTTATGCAAACCTATCAATTCTGGCAGCTTCTCCAGGATATAGACTGACCCACTGAAGGCACAAATTTCCCTCCAAGTTTGGGCCAGTCAAGAAGCTGTGGGTCTTGCTCACGCCCCCTCTTTGAATGTCATGTCACTTATATCAAGAGATGATAGATAACAGGAGAGGGTTCTCAGTCCATATCGGCCTAATATCATGCAATGGGGAAAGAAAAATTAAGCACCATCAATGTGAATTGTGCACAATAAAATGGAAATGAAAAACGGAGAGGTCTATTTTATATTACAACTGTGGCATCTGTAGGCCATACGCAATCAAGTTGAACATATGTTGCTGGTCATGTTTTTGGGAGTACTTATATTTGCATAAGGTATTCAGACCTATTAACTTTTTATCATATGTTTCTTATATGTTTCAACTAGTCTTAATCCTTCTACCTCTTTGAATGAGGGAAAGGGGGGGGGAATCATTAAAGAACTGAGAAAGTCCACTTAGGGGGCCCTCTCCACCACTTCCTGCAGGGTCAAGGGCCACTTGGAGAATGCTTGGTGGGGCCCCTAGCTATTCTCCTCCAACAATGCCCCTTGCTACATCATAGGGTGGATTCATTTCAGAGGGACTACCGGGTGTGGGGTGCACAGTATCAACTAGAGGCCAGCCACTGGGAGGAGCTCTGCTATATAGCCCCCCCATCCCTTTGCCCCCTGAAATAGTCACCCCTAGTTTCACTACCTCTTTTTGCACCTGGCGTACCAAATTTCAAATCCAAAGCTTAGAAAAGCAGCCCTTCAGCTCACCCCTAAATATAGATATATCTAAGTACCTATAAGGGACGTGGGTGGCGCTGTGGGTTAAACCACAGCGCCTAGGACTTGCCGATCAGAAGGTCGGTGGTTTGAATCCCCGCGACGGGGTGAGCTCCCGTTGCTCGGTCCCTGCTCCTGCCAACCTAGCTGTTTGAAAGCACGTCAAAGTGCAAGTAGATAAATAGGTACCGCTCCGGCGGGAAGGTAAACGGCGTTTCCGTGCACTGCTCTGGTTCGCCAGAAGCGGCTTAGTCATGCTGACCACATGACCCGGAAGCTGTACGCCGGCTTCCTCGGCCAATAAAACGAGATGAGCGCCGCAACCCCAGAGTCAGCCACGAGTGGACCTAATGGTCAGGGGTCCCTTTACCCTTTAAGTACCTATAGCCCTGCAGTCCCAAGTCCAGCCTCTAGGAGGAAAAGATACTCTGCCAAGGTCTGAGACCCTACCACCGCCACCACCCTCTGCCACATCCCTACAAAAACCACACATTTCTGGGGAGTCTTGGAGCAGGGAAAGGGGACATTGTGAGAGGTACTTCTCAAGTATCCTTGAAGGTTCACAATGGTTTCAAATGCATAGAAAGCCTTGACTCTTTTGGGGGCTGCTTAGCATCCCTCGATCTAGATAAAACAAATTACGCTCTACAAATAAGCTAAATCCCCCAGGCAATATGATATTTTCTTTACCTGCTGCTGTCTTTGATGCCTCATCTGGGCAAACTGAGACATCAAGATTTGCCTATCCAATAGCTCCATTCTTTGTTGCCTCTGTATGTCCACAGTTGCTCCCATTCCAACGCTTATCTCACTGGATGGCTCCACAGACGAGAAAATTGGTTCAAGAGTCCAAGCAAATATTCTCGCCACACCACTGGGTACACAAAGTACATGGTACACTTTTAGCACGCTGCTGCTGTAGCACATTCCAGAAATCTGAAAGCAAAAATCATCAACAATTCTTAATATGCAGCTTTAAGAATGCCAATTGACTAGCAAAATTTGGATAACATTTATCTGAACAATTAGCTTTAATGACACATCATTACCTCATAACTGGATATGAATTTCAAAAGGTTACTTTTAATGTGAAAGCAAAACTCCAAAGATGACAAATCTTGTCTCACACATGGTTCCAGATTTTACTGAAGCACAAGTATATCACAATGAATATGGTTCTGGCAAGTAATACAAAGAAGAACCAACTATTTGAATAACTGTCCAACTAAATGTGGGCAGGCAAGATGAGAAATTAGGAGGGACGTTAGTTATCTATTCCACAGCAGACTCTACTTGGGAACTTCACAAGGAAAATGTTTACAAATGGCACAAATCACCCATTTCTCTATGCAAACACAACAAGAGGCCCCACTTGCTCTAGAAAAGGTAATTTTCCTCCATCTAAGTCATAACTGTTTAATCATTACAACACAGCGAAGAAAGAAGTTACATCATCCAACAGGTTAATAATATTGCTTGTCTAAATTAATAAATTTATGCCTAGTTTTTACTACAATTACATTATTTTATTATCTTAAATCAGACGGATGTTTTTAGAAACTAATACATGCCTCAAGAATATTTCTGGGGGAAGAAAAGGGTATGGGAGATGGCAGATATAGATGGGAAAATCAGGGTGACGGTTTATTTACCTGCTGAAACTTCAAGCAATTCAGAGATTGGCCCCTCTTTGGCAATATCACCATTGCCTCTGTGTCATGGGTATTCAGCGTAAGTTTTTTTCTGCTTGTAACTGCAACTAAGCTACCCACTTGGCCAGATGAGTGGATATTTGCCTCAAGAAAATTGAAACATTGGTATTGGCAAAAGGGCCAGGATCTTTTGTTAAGCAAGTGCCTTAACTGTCCTGCTTTAGGACAGGAAAGTCTGTTTTCTCCCGGAACAAATACTATAAGAGTAGAGATGAACAGCCTCTTTCTTCCACTCAATTTGTCCATGTGTAAGATGCAACCAGCACAAGAGCAGCATGCATTTTTCTTTTCTTAGAAGAGATACGATCTTACACATATAACACATTGTGGGGAGAGGCATAGCTCGTGTCTGAGACAGTGTTCATTTCCTCCTTGGAGTCTAATGTGGCATGATGAAGATGCATCACATTCACTCCCAACTCTACTTTGGTAAAAAGAGAAAATAATCGCAGTGTGTGTGTGTGTGTGTGTGTGTGTGTGTGTTGATGTTGCCTAAGATCCACCAGTTAGCTATCCCTGTAGGAAACTAAAGATAGATATTTAACTGTCACATATGCTGATACCGTGCAACATCAGTACTGATGTATCTATACTGGTGTAAAATGTCTTAAAACCACAAAAGGAGATGGTGCATTATACCTATTTCCATTTGCCCTATCAAGCATTTATGCGTATTTAGTGGTGTTTGACTTGCTTTTTTACTTTCTTTGACACTCAGAACTTCCTCTTCTGGTAGTTTATAAGTTATCACCTGAGAAGCTAAACACAGGCAAATTCAAGCTGTTTTTCTTTCTATAAAAAAACTGTTTTTCTTCTGACTTAAAAATAAGATGGACTGCGTGAAGATCTTTTTACAATCCAATTGCTTTCTAAATGAAATCTATTACAGCATTATCCCGGAATCTTAATGCACAAACTAAAAAGGTTGAAAGGATATATATTCACACAAGAGCCTAACCAATTAATTAGTCAGCAAGCTAAATGAGGTGGAGTCATATTTTGTGTTCTCTCCAGGGTTTACTTATGTTTTTAAAGAGTAGCTAAACTGTCCTAGAGCAGAGATCAATATTGTTATGGTGTAAGCAGAGGACCCTTCGCATTGTGCATAAAATCTGGCACATGATTTTAACAAGCCTCTTCTTTTTCCCTTGGATTAGCATTGTCAAATGTCCTCATTTGAAATACACATCGCTGTCTAGTGGTCTGCACCCTCCCATCGCAACACTAAACCACAAAGAAAAAAGGAAGTGGCTGTGGCTTTGTTTTCACTTCCGATAAATCAAACAGACATTCTGTGCTGACATGCTATAGGACAAAGATGCCCATTTGCACTCCTTTTGCTTAAATGGAAGATTTAACAATTCAGCTAGAATCATCCACATTCCACTGAGCGTGAAAAAGGGAAGAAGTAATGAATGACAGCCAAAACCCGTTGCCAGGCATGTGAAACAAGACTGTCCCATCATTTCGTTCAGCCTTCTTCCCTTTGCCTTCTGTGAGCAAACGTCAGGAAACGAAGGGACAATTTCATTACTCTAAGTTTCCAGCACATTCATCATGACTCACAAACCCTTTCCAGTTTAGGATAGTACTTAAGCAACACCATATTGGCCCCAACAAAAGTTCTGCAGTACAGCTGATTTGAAAACAAGTGCTGTTTTGAAATACTGACGACCGATGTGAAATCAAAGGCCGGCCTATGGCTCAAGAGGCAGGTGGACTCCAGATGTTTTGGGACTACAACTCCCATCATCCCTAGCTAACAGGACCAGCGGTCAGGGATGATGGGAATTGTAGTCCCAAAACATCTGGAGGGGCAAGGTTGCCTCTGCCTGCTCCAGAACAAAACCTCCTCACACTTTACATTTCAACCTGACTCCCTACCTAACTCCCAACCTCAGTTCCAACCAACACCTCCCACTCAACTCGACTTAACTCACTCTCTCCCTCCAAAGCCTCTCCTTTTAAACTCTCCCTCCTGGAACCACAGCCAATCAGAGGCTACCGTTCTTTAACCATTTGCTGGCAGGAGATAAAAGTAAAAAGCCCTATGCCTGGGCTAAGGGTACAGGTCCTCTTATGAATCTGTAGCTGAACAGGAAACAGAGAGCAGGAATAAATCATCAGTAGTCACAATGGAAACATGTAAAAAGGATTTGTATTGGGACTGGCCCGTTTAACTTGCTTATAAAACGGTGTTGAGTTACGCTGGGGTGAGCAGTGTGGTTTGCTGAAGACCTCAAATGATTCAAGGTGAAAAGAAAAAGGCGACTGCCGAGATTCCCAAAATGATTTCTCCGAACTTGGGGAGCAGGCAACAAAATGACAAACACAGTTCAAAGTAAGAGTACAACGAAATACAGTGGGGCAAAATCTCCTAACTTCGTATGTACACTAATGGAGTCTGAGCTGATGGTGACCAACAAGGAAACCGACCTTGGTTGTCCTGGGTGGGTAGCCAATAAAATCAAATCACAGCAGCTGCGAAAAATGTGAATCCCACCCTAGCATTAGCAAAGCGACTAAAAATGAAACTCCCAATACCACAATGCCTTTATACCAGGAGTGGCAAACCTCTGGCCTAAGGGCCAGATGTATCCTGCAGCCCTGCCCAACATCTGGCTTGCAGTCTCTTCCCCTTGCCCCCTCCCCACAACTAAATTAAGCTTTTAAAAAAGCTTCCATTGGTGCCAATGGCAGGGTTATTAAAAGTCTCACTGCAGCTGGGGTGGATCTTTCAGGGGTGTCACAGGTAGGGAGGGGGGGCTTAACCCTCCACCCGGATTGCACCATCAGTTTGTCAGTCATATTTTTATTGTTTGCAGTACAATATCACTCACTCCCCACTCCTCAAAACCCCCGGACAATTCAAGAGAAAGTTAAATATAAATGTTCAGAAAACCAAGTTCTCAGAACTTCAAAATGTCAAGTTCCCCAAATCATTTAGGTTAAAAAGTCCCATGGCAGTTGACACTGTTTAAGATTTTAGAAGTAGTTCATAACTATCTTGATGCAGCTAGTGCATATAAAGTGAGCCTTGTCTATGTCACCCAGCGGCTATTTAATTCCCAAAGCATTTGACCTCCTAAATTATTATGAAATGGACAGATCAATTTATCCATAGTTGATTACAGGAAGAGTAATGAAGAATGTATTACACAATATCTTCAGTCTGGCCTGATCTGCCTACAGAAAGGTGGTCCCATCAGATATTTTGTGGGCATAGTTTGAAATATAAGCTGAGTAAATGCATGACCTAACAAGGGGTGGGGGAGTTACCGGTAATTTCTGCAGATAAACAGTTCATTTATGGCCAGATTTAATTTTAATATTCCAAACTGAAGGCTAAGAATCTTTCATATAGTCAAAGCTCATTTTGGAAACTTCAGCAAAAATTACATTACAGATCTTATGGTCAGAAATGTCCAAAGATAACATTTGAAATGGAATAACTTGACAACAAATGATCACCTCGCCTACAAAACACAGTTTTCCTAAATATTGCTAAATTAGCAAGATTTTTTAATGGAGAATAAGGATATCAATGGGTACTAGTTATGATTGCTATAGTCTAGCTCCAGGACCAGAAACAGTATGTCTCTGAATACCAGTCACTCAAGCACAACATTAGAAGGCAATTGCCAGATCAAGGGTTTCCCCCACAGTCACCAGTTTGACCAATGTAGGAAACAGAATGGTGAACTAGACAGGCTTTGGTCTGATCTGGCAGCATTTCTGAAATCTAGATCTCAATGTTGGACAAAAGACTAATCTTTCCACTACCTAGTAATCTTTGCACAGAACACAGCACAATCAAAAATGCAATCCGACTTTCTTTTTTTAAAACTTTTTATTTTAGAATACATTACATACACACATGCAACAAAATAATGAGGAAATGGAAATATAAAGGGAGTGGGGTAAAGGACATCATTCAGTTTAACGTGCAATAAATAATGAATTAAAGTCCACAATACAACATGTCCTTCCTATCTCAGAAGCTGCATGTGTCACATTTTTCAAGCTCAGAACAGGTAAAAAAACCAAAACAAAAAACCAAACTATTTTGTAGATAGTTCTCGTGGCTTAAAACAAGAGGAAAATTTTTACTCTATGACAGTTAATAGCTGTAGTCACTAACAGAGGCTGCCAAGGGTAGCTTGAAAAAGGAGTGCAGAATTGCAAATAGATTCATTTTTCTATATTCTATGGTTTTGTCAAAGG